GCTCTGCAGCGGGGGGGCGGGGGGCGCAGCAGTGAGAGGCCCGCATACCGCGGGGGGGAAGAAAAAATTCTCATCTATCCCACCTTTTTACAGAATTGTAGTACACTATACACATTGTGTTGTACTTGGCTTTTTTCACTTCGTATATCTTGAAGATCACTCACAGCATAAAAGGTTTCTTCATTCATTTCTCTGGCCGTATAGTATTCCATTGTTGGGATGTACGAAGTTTATTTAACCACACTTACACTGGTGACTATTTAGGTTGCTTTCAACCTTTTACAGCTTAGATTTGAACCTGAGTCATCTGATGACACCAGAGTCCCATGCTGACTCTACTGCAGTGATTTTTCACGTTAATCCCTGAGGTGGGGTGGGGAGGGGATGCCTAGCCTTTTGGGGTGAGGAGGGGGTAAAGCAATGAAGTCATGGCAGAGACTCAGCCCCCAGGACATGATTTATGTCCTTCCCTGCTCCTCCACCCACCGTGGAACGTAAGAGGTCAAGGCAGCTTGAGTGCGTTTGTGTGGAGACAGAAAGCTGGGGGGCTTGGTGTTTGGCCAGCCTTATGTTTCTCATCCTCCTGTGGGTCTCTGCCCCAGGCCATGAGCCAGCAAAGAACCTGGCTGTCCATCCATCCCCCTGGGGGTACGTGGGAACGCGTCTCCTGTATGAGAATGGGGGTGCTCACTGCATAAGGCTGCCTTTGGAGGTAGGTGGGTGGCAGTATCGCTTTTCTCCTAGCTTTCCCTTTTCCAATCTCTATCCCTGTCCAGGCTCCAGTCTCCCCAACCCTTCTAAGCAAAAACAAAGTGATAGGCTGGGTAGAGTCGTTAGGGACTAAATGTGTGGGTACCACCCCTTCCACTTTCTCCTTGCTTTCCCCGGCTTTGCCTTCTGAAAGAGAGCCCTGGGCAGGGCCTTGTTTAACTCAGGGATGGCAGAGGTATGCCTTTGTATGCACGCCATTATTTCTTCCATCGGCACCATGCCACAAATCGCTCTCCTCCTTTCCAGGAGCCTGTGTGTGGACGGCATCCTGATGGGCTATGTGTTCTGTAGCCAGACCACAGCCATGCTAGTTTGAGCTAGAAGGACGGCTCCCAGGGCCAGAAACTTGGTAAACTGCTGCCTTTCCGGAGCTCAGGGCAGGGTCTCTTCCTGCGCTTACTTTCTCCCATCTCTGGCAACACGCTGCTTCGCTGTTGCCTCTAAACCCCATCTCCAGTCCGGACGGCTGTGTACGGTAAAACCCTGTAGAAACAAACATCTGTTCTCCAGCAAGGTGCAGGTTGGTGATTGGAGACATAATAGGAAGTTAGTTACACATGAGGGAGCCGGAGCTTGAAAAATGAAGTTCTAAAGCCAGACCAGTAGAGGACAGCCCTGCCTGAGGAACAGCGTAAGCAGAGGTATTCCTCATTCAGGAAACCTTTTTTGAGCACTTACTATGTGTTCTGTTCTAGGTGGTGGGGATTTGACATCAAGGAGGTGAGGGGTGTGTGTGTGTGTGTGTGTGTGTGTGTGTGCACGCGCGCGTGTGGGGTGAGGGAAACAGTCACTAAATGAATGAACCAACACAGGTTTAACATGTCAGGTGGTAGAAAGATTATGGCGAACTATAAAGTTGGGTAAGAGGACTAGTGGGTCCAGGGGATGGGGTAAGAGGTAGGGGGTTGTTGCTTTGCAGAGGGTATTCAGGGTGTCATTCAAGTCATGAGCTGAGTGAAGGACATGAGCCACACGGAACCCATGGGAAGAGCTGTCCAGACCAAGGAAGCTTCTAGGGCTAAGGACCTGAGTTCAGATGCTTGAGGATCATGGCTGGCGTGCTGAGGGCTCAGGAGCATGAAGGGAGATGCAGTCAGAGAAGTAGTGCGGGCTCAGATCATGGAGGGCCCTGTGGTCACTACAGGACTTTGCCTTTTATTCTGAGGAATTTAGGAGCCATAGGAGGGGTTTGAGCGAGCGATGATGTCATCTTACCTATGTTTGGAAAAGATCCTTCTGGCTGTTATATGAAGAATAGACTCTGGGGGCAATGTGAAGCAGGAAGAGCAGTTAGGCTGCCCAACAGGACATAGGAGAAACGACTTTTTTTTGCCTCTTCATCTACTAATCTGTATGAGACCCCCAAACTGCCAGCCCTAATGCCCCGGGAGCTAGGGCTGCACCAGCTATGAGGGCTCCTGTGACTGCTCTGTGGTTCCATTTGTCCTGTCCATTGATGCAGCTTCCAAAAACTAACTCGTGAAATAATCATATTGCAAACACAACAAACACTCCCCTTCTTGCCCCATGATCACGTTTACCCAGTTGATCATTCTACTACAAGTTGATGGCAAAACTGTGAGGGTGAGGAAAACAGAGTGATGGCTGACAACTCGTTAGCTCTCCATTCAGTGCTGCAATCTGTTGGTGAGGGTCTGGTTTGTTTAGCCCTTAAAGATGGTACTTGGTGGGAGCTGCAGCGCCCCCCTGAGCCACAGAACAGCATAGCATTAGTAGGCCCTGCCTGCAGAGCATAGAGGTCCTAGACCCAGAAGTCTCTGCATACCCCCCACGGCTGGGATATCAACCCCAAAGAAGCCCAGGGCCCAGCCAAACCAGGTTTATTGGGGTGAGTTCATTACATAAAAAGATGGGACCCTCTAGAGCTACCGAAACCCCATTATTTGCAGCCCTCAATCTTGGACAGCCCTCTGGGGATGTTTCACCAGATGAACAATCCAAAGCCTGTGGTTTATATTATGGGCTAGGGTTAGGTTTAGGACTATGGTTAGACTCTCGGCACTACCAGGGGAACAGACAATGGAAGGCAGCCGACCTTTGCGATCAGTCTGAAAACAACAGCCCCTCACTGATGGAAGGTTGGTACCTCACTCCACAGGCAGAGCTCCAAGTGGCCTGGATGGTGCCCACAGGACCCCCTTTAACCACCCTCCAGGTAGCAATATACACAGACTCTGGGGCAGAGTGCCTGGGCGGGCTGAGTGATTTGGAGCGTAGAATTTTCTAGATTGGCTCACTCATGATCTCTGTTGTAGGGCCAGAGACTGGTTTGAAATAGCATTAACCTCTCAACATATTAATGTACAAATTAGGTATGTTCATGCTTATCACAAGGACAGTTCTCCATTGGTCTCATGTGGTTCAGCTGTGGTACACTTGTAAGGTTTCCCTGTTATCTCTTTTCCATTTGCCTATGGGACACCATATCCCACTCTCCTAGTAGCTCTGATGTGGTTGCAGTGATTTCTCCTTGACTTTTTCCTTTTTTATGCTTGATTTATTCTTTCAACTTTTTTTTTTTTTTTTTTTTTTTTTAGCTGTACGCGGGCCTCTTACTGTTGTGGCCTCTCCCGCTGCGGAGCACAGGCTCCGGACACACAGGCTCAGCGGCCATGGCTCACGGGCCCAGCCGCTCCGCGGCATGTGGGATCTTCCCAGACTGGGGCACGAACCCGTGTCCCCTGCATCGGCAGGTGGACTCTCAACCACTGCGCCACCAGGGAAGCCCCAACTTTTAATTTTGACATGACTTCAGACTTAAAGAAAAGTTGCAAGAATAGTGCCAAGATTTCCTGCATCCTCTTTACCCATATTCATCAAATGCTTACATTTTACATTTACTTTCATCTTTCTTTCTCTCTCTCTCTCTCCACACACACACCCCACATATTATGTCTTTCTAAAGCATGTGAAAGTGTGTTGCAGACATCCTAAGTACTTCAGTGAAGTTCCTGAAATAAAGGCATTCTCTTAAATAACCACAGCACAATAATCAAATTCAGTAAATTAACATTGACACTGTGCTATTATCTAATCTACAGACAGGACCAGCTACCTAATTTATGAGGCACAGGGCTAAATGAAAATGTGGGTGCCACGTGGCTGCCATGGCCTTCCCTGAAATGCCATAGGGAGTGCACATGTAATGAAACGGAGCAGGACCCTGTAGGGGCTCTTGGGCATGGAAGCCTCTCTGTGTCCCCCGTTCCTTGTTTGTAGGGGACAGACTCCAGCCTCCATGACCTTCCCTGAGACCCAAAGGGCAGGTTCAAACAGTTGCTAATCAGGGAAGGGAGGGGATGCAGAGACAAGGGAGGAGCAGCCCAGAAACAGTAGCGCAGGACTTCGCTGGTGGCGCAGTGGTTAAGAATCTACCTGCCAATGCAGGGGACACAGGTTCAAGCCCTGGTTCGGGAAGATCCCACATGCCTCGAAGCAACTAAACCTGTGCGCCACAATTACTGAGCCTGCGCTCTAGAGCCCGCGAGGCACAACTACTGAGCCCGAGTGCCACAACTACTGAAGCCCACTCGCCTAGAACCCATGCTCTGCAACGAAGAGTAGCCCCCACTCACCACAACTAGAGAAAGCCCGCGCACAGCAATGAAGACCCAGCGCAGCCAAGAATAAATAGATAGATAGATAGATAAATAAATAAATAAAATTTAAAACAGAAAACAAAAAAACCTGAAAAATATTGGTTGGCCAAAAAGTTCGTTCGGGTTTTCTGTAATCAGACATAATAACCCGAACGAACTTTTTCGCCAACCCAATAAATCCTGGGTCCATCCTTTCCTCCATGGTGTAATTTCTACAAAAATAATCAACAGGTACTTGTGGAGTATTTACTTTGTACACATCACTTTTCTTGGCTCGAGGTAGAAATGTGTAAGGCAAGATCCCAACTTTCAAGGGCCCACAAAATATGACCATGAAAAGGTAGAAGCAGGCAGGCCTAGAATATCTCTGTGTAGTCCATATGGAGATGTCAGGGGGTTTACAGGATGGAGAGGTAAGCTAAGACTGGGCTGCTCAGTAGAGCTGAACTTTAATGACTGCAAACTGATTAAGAATATGGGTCCTAGAGTTACACTTTGATTCAAACACCAGCTTCACTCCTTGCCGGTTTGCTATTTGGGGCCAGTAATTTATCTTCCTGACTTTCAACTTCCTCATTTGTAAGATACAGATATTAATAGAATCTTCCTCTTTAGGCTGTTGGAAATATTAAATGAGATCATGTACGTAAAGCACGTAACTTGGTTCCTGGCGTATCATAAGTGTTCCATAAGTGGCAATTATGAGAATTTTAATAGAAGGTGTTATGTATTGAAAGCTTTTCAAATGCATGTCCTCTTTGACCTAGAGGTTCCCCTTCTTATCATCTATCCTCACTAAACAGTCAGAAATGCTCACGCTGATGTACTTGCAACATTATTTATTATATTGAGAAAGCATAAATAATCTCAACATTTAATCAGAGAAGACTTGTTTAAATAAATTATGATCCAGCGATACCCAGAAAGCTCTACCCCTTTTAGAATTATGTTGCAGAATATTTAATGATATAGGAAAATCTTCACCCAATATTGTTAACTGGTAAAAGCAGGTTATAAATCTGTATTAATGTGTGCTCCTAAGTTGTTCACTTCCATTATTCCCAGAAAGTTTTTTAAAGGCTTGAGGAGCTTGCTCATTTGGAAGATATTCCTCCAGCATATATGGATTAAGAAATTTAATGAGCTCTCAACACTATGTCAACAGTGGTATTTCCTGTGCTTCTGTAGCTTATCTGGCACCGAATGGCCTTCTGGTAGTTTCTTCTTTCTGGTAGTTTCTGTTTATCTTTTCGCCTAAGCAACTTTTATAACACAACATTTCTCAGAATCCAGATTTGGTGATGTAAGACCTCTTGGGTATTTGTACTCATAGGGACCAGGCACTATGAGCTTTCAGCTTTCACCTGTGAACAAATATCAGGGAAGAAGGAGGGAGAGGAAGGAGACCCAAGAACCGAGCCTTTAAGCAGTCACTGCTGTGTGACTCTGGCCAAGCTCCTCCCTGGGGCAGTCAGATTGCTAAGGTGGCCCAGTGATCCCCACTTCCTAGGATTCATGTCCTTGTGTAGTCCCTTCCTTGAGTGTGGACTGGACCTAGTGACTTGTCTCTAATGAGCAGTGATGTAACGAAAAGTGATGGGGCGTCACTTCCAAGATTAAGACTGTGACTTCTATCTTGCCAGCACTCGTCCTGGTTCTTCCCACTGCTTGCTCTGATGAAGCCCATTGTCATGTGGTGAGCTGCCCCCTGGAGAGGCCCACTTGTCAAGGAACTGAAGGTGGCCCCTGGCCAATAGCCTTCGAGGAACTAAATCCTGCCAACAACCACGTGAGTGAGCTTGGAAGTGGATCCTTCCCCAGTTGAACCTCAGATGACAATGTAGCTTCAGCCGGTTGACAACACCTAGATTGCATCCTTGTAAAAGACCCTGATTTTGGTTACTTTTCTACCTATATCCTCTTGTGTTTCTATGAGTTTCTTTAAGATGACTGTTTTGAAATCTTTGGCAGGCAGATTGTAGATCTCCATTTCCTTGGAGCCGGTTACTGGAGCTTCATTAGTTCTTTCGGTCGTGCCATGTTTCTCTGATTCTCTGTGATTCGTGTGGCCCTGTGTTGGTGTCTGTGCGTTTGAAGGAGCAAACTCCTCTTCCAGTCTTGAAAGACTTGTTTTGGCATGTAAGAACTTTCTACAACTTCCCCAGCCTACTAGGACTACCACCAGAATCACAGTTGTGCTGGATTGGAACCGGTTTTGAGGCTGTTGCTGGGTCTGCCATGGGGTCTGTGATTGACATGCTTGTTATCAGGGGCTCAGGTGGGCATGGATTCCATCTGGTCCCTGGGTGGGTGGGACTGCCTCTACTACCTTGTTCAGTAGGGAGGTGCTGGGACAAGGGTCTGCTTCAGGGTCCAAGGTCAGGTCCTCAGTCAGTGAGCCTATTACCAGGTGCGAGATAGGTATGGCTCCCACCAGGTCCCTGGGAGGACCGCTGCCTGGTCACAGGATGAGTCCCTGGGTGGGCGAGACTGGCCCTGGACAGTGGCCGAGAGGGACTGGAACGAAGCCCCAGGGCTATTTCAGTTTCAACAGCCAAGATTGAGGTTTGTAGCCCTGGTTCCACAGGCACGGATGAGTGTGTCTCCTGCCAGGTCCCTAGCTGGGCTGCGCTGCTCCCTGACGGTGGCTGGAAGGGCTGGAGTGAAGTCTAGGGCCCTTTCTGTATCTCCCAAGGTACAGATGTGTCTCCCGCCAGGTCCCTGTGCCGGCAAGACTGCTCAAAATCTGTGGCTGGAAGGGGCAGGAACTCAGTCTAAGGCCTTTCAGGATCTCCGGGGGCACAGATGGGAGTGCCTTCTGCTGGGTCCCTGTGCCAGCGGGACTGTCTGGGGCCTGTGGGTGGGATGAGCTAGACCCCGTTTCAGGGCACTTTCAGAATCTACAGTCTGAGCTAGTTTGGTGGGCTTACGTCCAGGGGCTCCTGGGCAGCGGCTGAGAGGGGCTGGAGGCTGTTCACAAGCCATTTCAGCACTCACTGACTTCTCCATGCCTGTTAACCTGATGCCTGGGGGAGCATGACGTATGGTCACGCATATGCGTCCCCGGGCACATGGTGCTGGGGAGAGGACCAAGCTAAATGGGGCTGTGGCCAAGTCCTCAGGGGCATGGAGCTGTTTCTGGGTCTATAGTTGGGACCATGATAGGTGAGTCAACCACCTGGGTGCAGGCCTGCCTTCTCAAATGGTTCTCCTGGGTCTTGGACTGCACTGGATTTCACAGTCTCCTAGCTGGACCTCAAAGCTGCCACAAAGGCATTTTTGCCCATGGATGGATGCCAAATGATTAGGCAGAAGGACATCTTATTCAGCCACCTTTCTGATGGCACTCAGGATGTTGTTTTTCAAAGGTGTTTAAAAACCATGCTTACGTTTAACCTTGTGTTATTTTACAATGATGAAAAATTGGAAGCGCACATTCAACAACAGATGGTTGGCTAAGTAAATTACAGTGCTTTGTAAATAGTTTAGAATATTATATAGCCATTAACAATGACACTGAAGAATATTCACTGATCTGGGAAAACGTTTAAATGTTTATAATGAAATGCTACATAAAAATCCTGATAGAAAATACTATACAATTTACACACACACACACACACACACACACACACATACATAGAGAGAGAGGGAGGGAGAAAGTAAATGAAGGCATATGCAGAGGAATGTTATTTTGAGATGATAATTGAATCTTATCCCTATGGATAAAATTTAATTGAATTTTTACCCGCAAAGGTCTACTTCCTTGTTCAATGTGGGCCCTTCCAATACCATGCCCCAAGTTTTCAAATTCACCCTCCCTCCTCCAAAACCTCTATCCTCCAATTCACTAAGCAGTAATTCATACTAAGTGTGAATGACTCTTAACTCTTAATTCCCCCAGTATATTTGTATGTATGTACGTATTTTAAAAATAAAGTCTTGAGATTTTAAACATGTTGGTGATAGTTGTAGAATTTCGGGCACAGAGGTGGGTGATTTAAAGAACAAGGCAGGGAGAATAAATTTGAAGCGGAGGAATGCATCTCTTGTTCACAAAAATAACTTCTATTGCCCTAGAGCAACTCTGACTCCAGGGAGGGCTGTGTTCTTACTAGAAAATCAGGTGTTCTTGCAGGCTTTCTCACATGCTTCTTTCCTCAAAAAGTTGTTGCCATTGCCATTACAACCTCCATAATAAAAAACCTCACATTCATAAGTTCTCCAGTTGTAGAATCAGCACAGGATGGAGCCTCGACAAAGGCCATTCTCCATACGAAGTTTGCATACATTTGCGGAGACAGCTTTGCCTAAAGAGACAAAGTGGTTTGAGAGAGGCCGCATCACCTTCCGCTTGTTGGTCCCATATGCTAGGGGGCTGGGATGGCCCTGACCACAAATGCGAGGCTGTCCATAATATTAGCTGAGCTGTGTATTTCTTCCCATCCAGACCACCTGGCCCACCCAGCCAGGGCCTTCTCCATCTGCACAGAAGTTGAGATTTTCACTCCTGGGAGTAACCTGATGTGGTGAAAACCCGAGACTTGAGACTCCAATTCAAGTGGATACAAATCCTAGCCCTGCCACATACTACTGTGTGATGTTGTATCGACTTAACTTCTCCAAATTCCCATCTTTTCATATGTAAAATTAGGGAGCTGAACTCCACCATCTCTGAGCACAATTCCAGATCTGATTGCCTAGGATTTGATGAGTAAGGTCTCTCAGGCTTCCATCCCCTGTCTCACTGTCATTCTGGAGTAGATATCCGATAGTGAGAGGAGAACTGACTTCAATCTGAGAGCAGGGTTGAAACTTGACTCCATCATTTTCTAGCGGTGTGAGCCTGGACAAATCACCTATATCTTTGGCACTCAGTTTCCTTCACTGTAAATGGGCGTGTAATATGCACATTTTAGGCTTACTGAAGGGTGAGAGGTAACCAATGAAAAGCCTGATAAATAGAAAAGCATCAATAAACAGGAGCTGCTCTCAATCACTCCTTCCCTTCCTTCACCAAGAAGACTGAGAACAGGAATTTCATCATACTCTTTTCCGCAGTCTAAATACCTAACACAGGCCTGGCTCTGAGTTCTCAGTAAATATTTGTTAATGGGGAGAAAAAATGCCACGAGATCCTCTGAGGCAGGATTACAAGTTTCTTGAACTCTCCTTTTATGTTCCTGTTATGTGAATAGCTTTATCCTTGCAATTACTCTTCAAAGTAGATATTAGGACTGCCAACTTTACATGAAGAAACTAAGGTCAGAGAAGTGAAATGCCTTTCCTAATGTCATGCTAGAAGGTGTTGGGTCAAGAATTTCTTTGGGCTGCTGGGCCCCTGGCCCTATTCCCAGGCTATTTTTGGAGCTCCCATGTTCCATACCAACCTTGTCTTAATTCTGATCGAAGTTCTTGGCAGAAGGTGAAGAGCAGGAGAAGCGAGGGAGAGACCCAGAGCTGCATGGTGCCACCCAGCAAGTGGCCCAGCCTGGGGTTGGCATTTTAGGGAGAAATGGGACCAAGGAGGAGGAGCCTGATCCCACATCCAGCTCTTTCATCCCTAACTTCTGCTGTTCATGAGGCTGATCTACCCTTGGAACAGAATGTCCATCCAAAGCACAGCTCTGTCTTTCTCCTTTGGCCTTATCTGATCTGAATTTATCAAAGGCCACTTTACTACACTTCATGGTGTGAGCCCGTTAAACAATAATAAAACAGCAGCTACCATTTGTTGAGTGCCTCTACCTTTCCAAGCACCATTTAAAATACTCTTCATTCATTACCTCACTTGAATCCACACAGGATCCCTGCAAGGCTTAGAACCCCCATTTTGTAAGTGAGGAGAGTTTAAGCTACCTTGACCATTATCACATGGATAGTGAATTTCAGAACCAGGACTGGGACCCTTGTCTGTTCAGCTCCAATAAACTTGTGTCACTCATTCATTCAACAAACACTCACCGAGTTCCCACAGCATGCCAGGCATAGTCTTAGATCCTGCCTCCCCGGCATCTGGGGGCTCCCAAAGAATTGTGGGAACAACACACACATTACTGTGTAGAAGGAGGACCCAACTTTTTTTGGTTTAGAGAATCATTCTGTCTAGAGAATCACCCCAATCACCAGGGTCCAGCACATTCCCCACCGACCTGCTTTCTCGGATCCTCCAGAGATCCGATCTTTTGGAAGACAAAGCCAGTCTGCTTTGGTGGGATTTTAGTGAGCCTCAGGTTCAAAGTCTGAGGTTGTACTTTTGAGTTCAGGTGTTCCTGATGTGGGCAAGTCATTTAACCTCTCTGAGCCTCAGTTTTCTCATCTATAAATTGAGATTAATTATGCTGGTTTAGCATATTTCCCAGAGCTGGTGCAAGTGTTCAATGAATAAACAAATGCTTCATACACTGGAAATGTGCAACAGGCATATGCCACTTGCAGGGGTGTGTGTGTGTGTGTGTGTGTGTGTGTGTGTGTGTGTGTGTGTGTGTGGCATGATGCCTTTTTGGAAACAGGAGTGTTAACTGGACCAGCACCACATTTGGTCTCTACACAAATGTGTTACCCATCTTTGCACATTAGTGGTAGCTCTTCCTCCTTTTTAAATTCCCTGCAGCCACGATCCTCATTCCTTGGCCACTGCTTCTCCCAACTATAGTTCACACAATGGTTGGTCAATCCTCTCATCACCGGCAGATTTTCACTTTATTTCCTTGAAGGCTCCTCCGAAGCCTGCATTTCCAGATCCCTGTGGGTACATCTCCTTTTGCACTTTGGTGGGTCTGCCAGCATTATTCCTGGTATTCTTTCCTCAGCTCTCTTAGGAGGTCAAATCAGTTCATCAGAAACCAGAATAAGAGCAGAAGGAGGAAGCACAGACTGACATTTGCCATTCAGGCAGAAGAAAGGCAGGATTGCCTATGGGTGCCCTTGGCTGAGAGCTTTGCTACAGTGCTCCCTCTTCTAGAGTGAGAACTGGCCTTTTAATACGTAATTCAGAAAAGCAGTTTTCGGGAATTCCCTGGTGGTCCAGTGGTTAGGACTCTGTGCGTTCACTGCCACGGGCCCGGGTTTGATCCCTGGTCAGGAACACAAGCAGCACAGCCCGGCCAAAAAAAAACCCCAAAAAACAGAAAAGCAGTTTTCATCTGGGTGGGAGCAATTTTGGCCCCCTAGGGACAGTGTCTAGAGACATTTTTGAGTGACACAACTTAGGAGTGGGGGGACACCTACTGGTAGAGGCCAGGGATGTTGTTAAACATTCTGCAATGCACAGGACATCCTCACCAGAAAGAATTATCTGCCCTCAAATGTCAATAGTGCCAAGGTTAGGAAACCCTGCATAAGAGTTATGAATACAGGCCGGGCGCGCGGGCCTGGTGGTGCCGCCGCTGGCTCTGCCCTACGCCGCCGCGCCGCCCGCTGCCTACGGCCGGCAGTGCGCGCAGGGCCTGGAGGCTGCGGGCGCCGGGGGCTACCAGTGCAGCGTGCGCGCCAGGAGCCTGTACACCGGGGCCGAGCGGCCGGCGCACATGGGCGTCCCCCACCACCCGCACTGGACGAGGCCCTCTCGGACCACCCGAGCGGACCCACATCGCCCCTGAGCGCCCTCAACCTCGCCGCCGGCCAGGAGGGCGCGCTCGCCGCCGCCGGCTATCACCACCAGCATCACGGCCACCACCACCCGCAGGCGCCGCCGCCCCCGCCGGCTCCCCAGCCCCAGCCGGCACCGCGGCCCAGGCGGCGTCCTGGTATCTGAACCACAGCGGGGACCTGAACCAGCTCTCCGACCACACGTTCGCAGCCCAGCAGCAGACTTTCCCTAACGTCAGGGAGATGTTCAACTCCCACCGGCTGGGGATTGAGAACTCGACGCTCGGCAAACTCCAGGTGAGCAGCAACGCGAGCTGTCCGCTGCCCTGCAGATCTACGCCTTCTCTCTACCGCCACGCAGCTCCATATTCCTATGACTGCACGAAATAGTCAGCTGCCCCGGCCCTCCTCTGCCCTGGCCCGCTCCGGCTTCGCTTAGCAGACGCGCCCCTCTCAAACAGGCTGCAGAGATGCAAAAAGAACCCAAAGTTGCCCACCGCTTTTTCCGCAGACCCGGGAGCAGAGAGAGCGCGCGCACCAGCCTCAGCCCTCCGCGAAGCTGCAGGTGACTTTAATTCGCCGCCTCGTTTCTGAGATCCCAAGAGGCCCCAGTACAGGGACGCGGCCCAACGAAATGAATAATGATTTTTAAATCCCCCTCCCCTTCCAGGATGGCTGTGCTCACTGCTCCACTCGGGGTTTCAAAAATTATAACTTATGGACCAAATCCCGTAGCGACCCAGTAATGACTCTCTGTAGAGACCCCCATAGACCTCTGGGGGTCTCTAGAGATTATGTATGAGCTGTGTGTAATTTTAAATTTCTCTAACCGTGCTGTACAAATGTGTGGATTTGTAATCAGGCTATTTTTTTGTTGTTTTTCAGAGCCATTAATACAATATTTAAAGTTGAGTTCCCTGGATCATTTCTCATCTTGCCCGACCATTTCTAACTGCCAAAGTGAAAATTCAAGAAACCCATGTGGGGTTTCCCCCCGTACAATTATGAGATATAATTCTTTTCCCAGTTGTAGGTCTTTTACAAAACAAGAAAATAATTTATTTTTTGTTGTTGGTGGTGGATAAAGAAGTCAAGTATCTGATACTTTTTATTTACAAAGTGTGATGGTGTTGTATAGTAGATTCCTCCCCCAGCATTCCTAAAAGAAAAAAAAAAAACCACTAAAAATTTAACTTGACCTGTGTTTGTCTTATGTGGTCTTAATTGTTGTACTTGCCTTAAAATAAACCCATATTGTTTTTCTGCCCCCCACAAAAAAAAGAGTTATGAATATAAACACTTTTTAATTATAAAAATATTTCCAACATTGGCAGCAAGATACGAACTCCACAAAGTGAGAGCGGTGCTTAATGAGGTGTGCCTGCACTTACTTGGCTGAACAAGCCTTGTGCAAGGCACTGGCCTTTCCCAAGCAGGCACTCTGTACCAGGTTGCCCTGGGAGATCTCTGGCTGTGACTCAGTAACTTGGCCCTTCCTCGGGTGATTTGGGCATCATGCTTACCGTAATTCCAGAAGATGGAGGGCTAGCGTAAGATTTATTAAAAACACATTAGAGAAGCTAGCAGGAAGCTCTTGCTAGTTATCTAGTACTTATACTCATCAAAGGAGTCTTACTAATCTTCAATTTAAAAAAAATTTAAAAATTAATTGATTACTTCTGATGACATAGTAAATGCTTATATTAACTTCCTATCATTTCATTGATTTATTGATTTATTTTGAATAAATATTGGGTAGTATCTGTCTCTAATATAAAAAAGGAGTCTTACGAACTCTATGCCAACTGTGTGTATGTGTATGTGTATGTGCGTGTGTAAATAATTAATTAAATTACTTTTGACTGAGACCTGATGATTTTGGGTAGTGTAGGGACAGGGGAAGTAAATAAGGGTGGAATTTTGAAAAAGTAAAGTCTCCCCATTCAGATTATAACCTCCATATTATGTTTATCTTTTCTAGAAGGTAGAAGGAAACTAACATCACTTGAGTACCAGCTATATGTCAGGGAATTTTCTGCCTTGACTCATTACATTCTTACGAAAAGTCCTTGGGATAGATATTGTTATCATCCCAACATAATAAACAAAACAGAAACGGGGACTTAGAGAGAAGACTCGCTTGTACGTATAACAAATACGTTTACCAAAAACACACATATACCAGGAGAGTTTATTTCTATTTTCACCTTATGTTCAAAATAAATGACCAGAGGGGGAGAACAAGCTTGATCACTTTTAAGAGCAGAGTCAATTTATGTCTTCAGAAAGACAAGTGGAATATTTAGCAGAGGATAATTTTTAGTATTTTTGGCCAAAGAGCTTGAATATAAATAGGGTCTTCAGAGAAGTGGAGAAAATATCTCTAGAACTCAGGAATATCAGAATTGATAAATATGCAGGTAAATATAAAAGTGCGGGGGGCTTCCCTGGTGGCTCAGTGGTTGAGAATCCACCTGCCAATGCAGGGGACACGGGTTCGAGCCCTGGTCCAGGAAGATCCCACATGCCATGGAGCAACTAAGCCCGTGCACCACAACTACAGAGCCTGTGCTCTAGAGCCCGTGAGCCACAACTACTGAAGCCTGCGCGCCTAGAGCCTGTGCTCCACAACGAGAGAAGCCACCGGAATGAGAAGCCCGCGCGCAGTAACGAAGATCCAACACAAATAAAAGTAAATTAAAAAAAAAAAAGTGTGTATGTGCTCTTCTCTTAATTTCTTTAAAAAGGATAAGATTGTTTAAGGCGATAGTTATAACACTGTATTGTTAGGTTTAAAACATACATAAATGTAAGATATATTGCAAAAGCACAAAAGATGGGAGCAGGAAATGGAGCTATACTGGTACAAAATTGCTATATTTTACCGGAATTAGGTCAATAGATACACATCCAATTCTATCTCCCACCCTAAGCCAAGGATCTCTAAGACCTCTCTGCCACCCCAGACACAACTCTGTGAGTTCCTTTCTTCCTCTACCAGACTCCATTTCCAGAAAGAATAAAGCCCAAAAGTGAACAGGCATTGAGTTCATGGAAAATTGATGGTCTCTCTGGGGTATGGAAAGTGATGGAGGGGAGTGTCCTCTCTGAGGGGCAGAGATCCTTGGCAGAGTAGTGGTAGAATGATACAGTATAATGGTTTAGCAAAGGCTTGGGTCAGAGAAACGCAAGTTAAATCCCAGTCTGGCCAATTATGAACTAAATAAACTTGGGCATGTCTCATAACTTCCCTGGGTCATGGTTTCCTCATCTGTGAAAAAGGCAAAACAATAAAATCTGAGCCATAGAGTTTTTGTGAAGATCACACAAGATGATTTATGTAATGTGCACAGCATACTGCCTGGTATGTAAGAGACGTTTCATAAACAGAAAAGATTAGTATTAGAACAAACAGTGCAAAATGCAGGCCTTGCTTCATGATGTCAACTACTCGGATGCAAACCTTATAGGGTTACAGCTCCCAGCGAAAGCGTCAATTTCTCATGTCTCATGGAGAATTTCAGTTCATGTTTCCCAGAGCATGTCATAAGTATCAGGGTTGGACCTGGACTTTCCCAGACAAGTTTTCCCCAGTTTTCTTCCTCCAGCCTCTAGGGACTCAAATATTCCCACAAGGTCTTTTGTCATTGATGGCCCCCTCCTGCACAGTTCCCCTCCTGGGGCTATGTCCTCACTCCCTGGGGCAGGGTGTGGTCCAGGGTGAGTTCTGCAACACAGAACAGCATGAGGAGGCAGGGTCATGGCCCAAGGGCGAGCACAGGACACTCAGATCTGAGCTTTTGCCAGGGAAAAGTGTCTGCCAGCCTCCGGGTCGACAGCGCCCTAGGCAAGGAGTCAAGCTGAGCCCTTCACACTGTGTGGCCTTGGTCAGCTCACTCTACATCTCTGAGACCATCAGCTTCCTCACAGAAAAGATGAAGAGGACATCCATACCTCGGGTTTTGTGAGGATTACATGAGGTCACGTGGAATGGAAGAACTTGGTCGTTGCAAAGATTCTGCAAAAGGTAGAAGTTGCCAGCAACTCACTCTTTCTGGGTTCCAGATTTTTCCTCTTTAAAAAAAGGGGGATTATCTTTATTTTACCAATGTTACAAGAAAGGTGAGCAAAATGGACTCTTCTGTAACTCTGCCACCAAAAGGAAGCTACTCTTCATATCTTGGTAGAATTTGTTTCAGAGTGGGGAGAAATTAGGAGCTTAGGGTCTTCTAACAGTCCTTCTGAAGTCACCAGAGTTTCCAAGTTAGAACCGTGGTATTTCAGCTTAGAAACCCTGTACAAAGGAGTTCAAAAAAGAGTAGCTAGCAGAGGCCAGTAGAGGTGTTGAAGTGCATGAGGACCACTTTCACCCTTGCTCAGGCCCTGATCAGCCGACCATACTAACTTCCTCTGCACCTTATAATAATTAACTGCCCAGGTCACACACTGGCCAGCAATCAATGCATCAGCATTGTGACCTAATCCAGGGCCTGTGCAGCATTCATTGTGAGATCTGTTAGATCCACGTGTCGCAGTGTTTGCTCTCCCCAATCCTGCAGCCTGTCCTCTGCAGAATGGTTCCCCTCAACTCACCATTCCTGCTCTGGAGACCCTGGTGTTGGCTGGGAAGACCAGGTGAGGTAGGAGATGGCAGTGCCAATGAGGGCCTGAAAAAAATACTCATCTTATGCCCAGCAAGTGCAGTGTTGAGCTTCCTGTGGCGACCGGGCATCGAGGACAGAATAGCTCAAGGAGATCTGATCACAATCTTCCAGGAAACTTGGGCTCTGGTGGGAGTAGTCAAGGGCTTCCAACTTTGTCAGTGACAACTAACATTTTTAGCCAAGTGGTGCTTCATCTCATGGGGTCCTCACAGCAAACATAATACCCAGTTTACAGACAAGGGAACCGAGAATCATAGAGTTAAAGTAATATGCTCAGCGCTAGCCAACTGGTCAGTGGTGGAGCTGGATTACAAACCCAAGGCTTGGGATGCCTTAGTCCCAAAGGATTGTTTCCTGGGGTGGCTTAGTTCACTTCTGCTGAGTAGATTCTCACACTTCCTGTTTCCACTGAATGTTTTTACTGATGCTTTTCCTCCTGCTTTCAACTCGGGCCTCATGACTCCTCATTCCCTTTCACGCTTAGAAACCTGCCTCACTAAACTTGGTCTTTCTCCAAGGCCCCAGGCACCCTCTCCCTCTGTCCTCTAACTCAAGCTCTTATCTCTGCCTGGAATGTTTTTCTCCCACTTTTCAACAAACTCCCACTCATGCTTCAAGTTTCATATTAAATAAAAATCTCCATGGACGCTTCACCCCAGACAGAATGGTTCTCCTTTTCTTTTCACAGAACCTTATCTTGGCCCTACTTTAAACTTTATCACATTATATTGTAACTGTTTAACTTAGTATTTTCTCAATCTAGAGTATGAGTCCCATAAAAGTAGGAACTGTGTCTGACTCCTTTGCCACGGTACCCTAAAACCCAAAACCATGCCTGGCATATAGTGAGGACATCATTCTGACTTTTCAAATGGGCTGAGAAGCAGGCTGGCAAGGGGTAGCCTAATCCTAACACTTCATGAATTTTTCTCGCAAAGAAAATCTTCACTGGCTAGTCCAGAAGCCCTCAGATACCAGCTGTCTACTTCAATTTTGTCTGCTGGACTCAGGTGTTTTACAAATTATTTTTCTTAAAGGCGAATTTATATTTGATTTGGAAAATAGAATAGGAGGGAAAACAAACAAAAAAGAAGCATGGGAATATCACATTCAGAAGGAGGACTAGGATAGACTAAGGGCTATAGGGCTATAGGGGTCCTGGCTGCTCTGGGACTCAGTCCGGCTCTGCCCTTGCTGACCTGGAGATGCTGAGTATTTCCGAGTCCTCAAGGCTCCAACCTCTTCATCTGTAAATGGAGCTGAATAATACCTACCCCAGGTGTGTCATGAGACAAAATGAGATGGCACAGGCAAAGCACATACCACAGTGCCTGGCAGAGGGTCTAAGGAAAATGTTACTATTATTATTTGTGTCTTCCCAAACCTTCATTTATCCAAAATTCTTGTTTTATAAAGGAATCAACATGTACATTCCACCTTAAACTCTATGTTTTTAAACTTTTCCTCTAGGTTCCATATAAATTAGCTCCCAAAGAAGACAAGTATCGTGTCTCCGATCTCTGAAATATCTTCTCAGATGGAACAAGGCATATTTGTGGAAAGTACTCCATCCCTGAAAGATCGTGGGATTAAATCAAATGATAAAAGCTCAGCTAATTTAACAATGATCTCAATTTCTCTACTAAACCTCCAGCAGCTATGGAAGATGTTGCTTCCCTCTGCAAATCCCATGTAAATTTACCAACTTGGAAATTTGTGGTCACCTACTCCCATGATTCCACTTTGCCCCAATCACACGCCCCTCCAAATGAAGTTTTCCCAAGATAAATGTATCACCATTCTATGTCCCACACTTTTCTTCTAATCTGACACCCTTCTAATCTGGCTGATCCCTGGTAACCCCTGGCCCAGAGCTGGAAACATTGTTCAGAGAACTCTACAGCTTCCTTTATCACCATGAGTTGACCAGATGTGGCTCAATGAGCCAGGCCTCTCACATTAAGCTTGGCCCATTCAAACTACAGCTGTCACCGTCTTAATCATCTAATCTTGATCTGTCTGTTACCACAGGCACTGGTCACAGGAGTCTATTTAAGTGTAAATTTATATTAATTACAATTCAATAAAATAAAATATTCTATCAACTCCTCAGTCTCATTAATCACATTGCAAGTGTTTGATAATCTCATGTGACTTGTGGCTAATATATTAAACAATGCAGACACAGAACATTTCCATCACTGCAGAAAAAGTTCTATTGGAAGGCATTGCTTTGAGCTTTATAAAGCTGATGTGTAAATAATAATTGCTAATTAAAAATTATGACATCAGATGAATGGATGAAGAAGATGTAGCACATTTATACAATGGAATATTACTCAGCCATAAAAAGAAACGAAAGTGAGTTATTTGTATCGAGGTGGATGAACCTAGAGACTGTCATACAGAGTGAAGTAAGTCAGAAAGGGAAAAACAAATACCGTATACTAACACATATATATGGAACCTAAAAAAAAAATGGTTCTGAAGAACCTAGGGGCAGGACAGGAATAAAGACGCAGACATAGAGAATGGACTTGAGGACACGCTGAGGGGGAAGGGTAAGCTGGGACGAAGTGAGAGAGTGGCATGGACATATATACACTTCCAAATGTAAATAGCTAGTGGGAAGCAGCCGCATAGCACAGGGAGATCAGCTCGGTGCTTTGTGTCCACCTAGACGGGTGGGGTAAGGAGGGTAGGAGGGAGATGCAAGAGGGAGGAGATATGGGGATGTATGTATATGTATAGCTGATTCACTTTGTTATACAGCAGAAACTAACATTATTGGAGCAATTATAC